ACAATAGATATATGTATCATTTTTAAACGAAGGGTAAGTTAACTGTAATAGTTAGATATAAAAATATCATAGTCCTTTGGTTAAGGATGGAGAAAGGGATGGAAAATAAACAATTTTTTTTTAAATATTACTGTGTAATTTTAAAGGCCACAGTTAAAAAAAGAAAATATTAATATGGAGTTAAATATAACTGTTGGCTTTCATGTTATGGAAACACTTGTTGAAAAGGTGTCAGTGCCCAAGTGTTCTTTTCTAATCAAATCTGACTTTTGTTTTGAAAACATTTTTTTTCCAACACATTTCAGTTTGCCCTTAGCTTTCTCTCTGACTTATTTTGGGAAAGTTTTCTTACCCTCAAGATTAGAAAACAATTTTGCTTTATTTAGGAATTCTTTGTTCAGTTACTTGCAAGAAAACTCCTGTTCCACAGTATAAAATGTGAGTCATTGTGCAACTTCACACCATTGTTTTGATACCTTCATTGCAGTCCCATTTCAGTTTGACTGGGAAAGAATACTGAGATTTGTTGCTTTTTATGTCAGGTTTTGAGGCTAACAGGAAGACATGCAACAAAATCATTTATTTAGCCTAAAAAAACAGTTCCCTTTTATAAGTCAGTCACTGAATGCTTCTGGGCTTTTCTGTTAGGATTAAACATGACTTATAATGAAATCTAAGCCCATTTAACAGTTCATCAGAAGAAGTATAGAGTTCAGATTTCTTGGGGGGCAGGCAGAGACATTACTGTTCAAGTGCTTGTGATTGGTATCTCTGGCTTTTTTCTGTTTAACACAGTCCTGATAATGCCACCGTGAGCAGCTGAGTGCAAAGTCAAATCAGCAAAAGCAATACATACCAGTCAAAGAAATATCAGGGACTGTCACAGTTGAGCTGTGGTTGTGAAAGTATTTCATCAGTACAGCATGCTTAATTTGTTTGTTTTTGTTTTAAAAGGTGTCACACCGGGAGCAAATTAATATGGGTAAGGCAGAAGCAGAGCTGTGTTTTGGGGAAGCAAAACAGCACCCTGGTGCTTCAGCTCTGCTGCCTCCTTCCACCCAGTGCAGGGGCTCAGTGGTAGCACAGCTCATTTCCACTTAACCACGTCCACATGGGAGGGATTAAACCATAGATATAGAAAAGCAGCTCTTCTCCAATGCAGCAGAAAAGGGAGGACAGACTAGTTCTTTGGGTTAGTGGATTGTAACTAACAGGCTGCGTCTTCGTGTTAGGACAGGGTGGGTCAGTGAGCTTGTTTGTGCCAGGAGATGTGTGAAGGGAGCAGCGGGCAATTGCATTAGTGGCTGAAGTGTTTACTCTGATTTTGTAGGGGCTGGGCTCCAAGGAAGATGTTTTCAGGATTGTCTGAAGAAAAATAGGTATTAAGTGGCTAAGTGTGATTCAACTTGCAGTAAGAGCAAACCCAAGGCACGGGGACACTCTATTTGTTCCAGTCTATGCAGGTATAGATAGCATTAGAGCAGCCCATTAGTATGAAAAAAGCACTGAAATTCTGCAGCGTTAGAGATTTGTGCAGTGAGGAAAAATGTGCAATATTAGGACTGTACATATTTGTCGGGTGTTTTAGTGTGTCAAACCTAAGTCAAAATGTTGGCTAAGAGAAAAAAAACTCTATCTGGATTTGCACCCATGTTTCAATAGCATAAACTATGGAGACTGAATTTGTCTGTGCCTTGTGTCAGAGAAGGAAAGCTTCCCCATTAGTGTTTCAGCTGCGCTTGTACTTTGGACAATGAAGGTACCAAGGCAATTATCAAAGAACAGCCAATATGTTCTAAAGTTAAGATTCCTTTGCCCTTTCTTCTTGTATTTTTTTTCCCCCTGCTGACAATCTCAGAATGTATCAAATTCAAACAGAGAAAGAGGGGAAGAGAGGGGCCTGCTAAGTACAAGGCTGTCATAACTTATAACAAGATTATAATATGCACAACTGTTACTTACCATATCCTGCAATATTCATTGCCACTGCTAGGAGATCAGTGTAAGACAGATAAAAGTAAATACATTTTTGCATAGCAGGTAGGGAACTTCCAGAATTCATTGCTACAGGAGTCTGGGTTGATGGACATTATAAGCAGATTCCAAAAGATATTAGTGACATTCATAGGCAACAGGTCTAAATATCAAGTAGGTACAAAAGAGAACAAGAGATGTGCCCTCCAGCATTCCTGACAGAATGATTGTGGATGCTGGCAGAGTGCAGGAGGAATGGACCACGGAAAAGGGACGTACTCATGTGCTTTCCTTAAACAGCCATCCCCTTGTCGCTGACCACAGCAGCACGATGGCCTGGGTGCATGAGAATGTCTCATGTTCTTAGCTCACTCCTGCCTAACTAATGAATCGTTTAGACCAGAGTGTCTCAAAGCTTCCCAGCAGCACAGGCAAAATTTAATTTTGTGGTTGTGACAGAACTGCTGCTTTAGGCACCATCGTGCCTGAGAGCTGTGCCCAGTGACCACGATGTGTTGACTATGGGCCTGCTGCCCAGGAATTGTTCTGCTGCTGCCACCAATACAGCACAGGATGGCTTAATATTAACTCTTAATTAGCAGCTTCCCCAACATCCACAGTATGCAGATCTGCCTCTCTCTAAGCCGTGATTTTTCTGCCGCACATCATTTTGCAACCACAGCTAAGTGCTCTGTGTAAGACTACAGCTGGTATATTACAATGTGACAGAGCCCCTGAATAATTTATATCTAAGTCTCCATTTCATACTTATTTGTTATCCTATGGGTTTTCCCCTAGGATACGCCATCTAGTTTCAATTTAAAACGTAAGTTCCATAAATTACCACTGCACAGAAGTTGCTTTAACACGCCATTTGTGCAGGTAATGGTGCACATTGCAGCAGAAGTGTTTCAGAGTCTCCACTCCTGGGACTGCAGATTCACAGTGAGCTGGTAAAGGGGAAACAACAAGGAGTTTGCTAGAAAATTGAACAAATCCGCCTTAACATATCAAAGCAAATCACACCCTGATGTTGGGAACTCTGCAGGGCAATGTTTCTGCAGCAGCGTGGACATCGAGAGTCTCTGCTGGCACTAAGCAGAAAGGAGGTGTGTGTGTTGTTTGTCATGTGCATTTAGATACCAGTTCATGAAAGTGCACTTAGGAAGAGTATTATGACATATTTATGGTGAGGTATAAATAAGGCCCATTACACCAACAGTTCTTAATCGTTGCTTTATTCTCTGGGTATATGATTTTCTGAAAAAAGTCATAACTTCAGAGAACAGCCAGTCTAAGTTCGATGATGTTTTAGCAGGGTGTCAAACAAATATCACTAAAACATGTATAAATCTGTTATGTTTCGAGATAAATGTTTCAGATGTTCACAGGATATTCTGAGTTGGAAGGGACCCATAGTATTTTTACTTTAAAGAGTTAAATGAATAATATAGCGGTAAGTGCATTTCAGAAAAATTCCCTGTTTTCATGTTTGCCTAACTTAAAAGAAAATCATGTCATTGAAATCATTAGGCCACATTTTGGCAAAATGTTTCTCCTTAAGTATTTAGGTTTAATTCTTATTCTTAACACTTATTAAGTTTAATAGGCTTTGAACACCTGCTTCAAATTAATGAAATGAACTATTTCTTGAGTAAGACTAGTGACCATTTTGGCAACTGCTAATTTTATAACACTGTATCATATTTCGCTTTATGACTTAGTCATACAACTGCATATTTCGATAGGATAATGTAATGTAATGCTCTCTTATCAAATACATGTGCCAATCTAGAACAGCTTCGGACTGAAATCACTTAAATAGTGTACCCAAAAGAGATTGATATTTGGGCTACAGTGTACAAAGCTACCAGCTACAAGTAAGGTATCAATGAATCCCCAGGCTGTAATATATCTTGGTTGAGTGATTAGTATCTAAGGGCCTGAGATGCTCTGCTTGTGACACAGACAGGATTCAGGAACCCAACCTTTCATTCCCAGTCACGAGTCTGCATTTTGGTGATTTGCCTCATGTAAATTTGAAAGTATATCTTGTTACGTGTGAGTGAAGACTGCATAGCAGTAATAAATACATCCTGCTGTCTGTTAGGCAAATCTGAACTGTGGAGCTTCTTGAGAGTCTTTAGGAAAGAGTTAGGTATCACTTGCCAGTGGGAAGGTGTGAATCTGTGAATATGTGAATCTGCAGGATGGTCAGTGCCCTTCTCTGTGGTGCCCTTAACTTGCCTGGGGGGTTATCACTGCCAGTGCATTGCCTTTGGCCTGGTTGATGCAAGTGCATGAGGAACAAGAGGAAAAGTTTCACAAAAGAAGGAAATCCAGGATTTTAAGTTAAATCTTACATCGCTTGTGATAACGTGTAACAAGCAATTATTTGAGGGAAGGATGCAGAAAGGGCGGGAAAAGGGATGGTCTGTGACACAATGCAGCAACCAAAACAAATTTAGATTGTGTGTAAGATGTGCTGCTTTGAGACTGATAAGCCTGGTTCAGGGAAAACCCTCGGCGCATGGGAGTGTACTTGTGAATGTGAATGGCCTAAATAATTTGAGAATCCATTTACAAATCACTTACATGTACCTCGCCCTGCTCGCATGATTCCTGGTTCCTGTCACCCACACAGAACCATATTGTTCATCACAGGAACGGAAAGCTGCTTTCACTTAGCTTGCCAAGCACCTTGCCAAGCTGTGGGCCCTAAAACCTTGCAAAAACTACTTTTTAACTCAGGAAAGATCTTGGCCTGTTCCAGCACTGTTCTACTTCCTTTTTGATTTCTCTTCTTTTCTCTGCTTGTTCTTTCACTTTCTTTAATGGCTGACATCTGGGATGGTGAGGTTGTAATAGTGACAGTTCACTATATCCAGTAATTCAAGCGATAGTTGAATATTCTTTGATGGTAGGTTACTACTCATGAGTTTCTGATGCTGCTCTTTCTGATGCATATGTTACCTATAGATGTTTCATGTATCTAAATAAATGCATTGCTTTGGATCCTCCAACAGGCCAGAACCAGTACTGTGGACAAAGGACGGTGGAGAACTGCCAGATCCAGAGAGAATGGTTGTCAATGGCAGGGTTCTAAGCATCAGCTTCCTAAACAAAACAGACAATGGCACATACCGATGTGAAGCAAAAAACCCTATTGGCCGAAACAGCACAGAATATGTCCTGATAGTACATGGTGAGTGTGTTCTTGTTAGTGCATGTAATGCATATGTAACATTTCAAGCCAATACAGTCAGCTGCTTATGGTCATTACAGAAAGAATAGCAAGAAAAAAGTCGGTAGTATAATTGCACTTCTAGTTATGGGACGGATGTTATCTTTCTTTTGTTATCATGCATCTCTTCGTACAGTTTAAACAAAATACAGTCACTTATGCTGTGAACTTTTTGGTAAGTAAGCACCTGTAAAAATGTTTTGTTGCAGTATATTTTAAAAACACTTGCCTCAGGCCCTGCCGTTCAGATAAAGCCGGTCACAAAAGGATATATGAGGAGAAATACCAGACAGATGAGTGTTTGAAATTTTCTGTTTAGTTTTTTAAAGACCACCAAAGGTGGGAGATCAGATTCTTCACACAAGTTATAGCCTGCTACTGAGAAAATTCAGCTTATACAAGTTAGCTTGTCATCATCTGGCCTATTGCTACAGTGAATTGTCAAAATTATGTCATAACCTTAATTCATTATACTACTTTTAATAAAATTGAAAAATAGGAAGGTTCATATTAAATTTCAGTTGATCTTTTTTTCCATAATTAATTGGACAACAATATGGGTCACGTGAAAAGAATAGCTGCCTTCTAAGTTGATCATGAAATAGATTGATATAACAGGTATAGGAGAAACTATAATACAAACTTAGGATTTACCTTTAATACAGCCTTGCAATATGGATCTAGCAGTCTCAAAACATGATGTTTTCTTATCACAAATATGTATTCCTGGAAGATGATGATTTCTATTATTTGAATTTTAATCTAAGTGAATATAAAGGCAGAAGCTCCACTGTAGTTCATGAAGGTACTTTTTTTTGTGTATTTTTTTAAAAAATGTGACTTCTTATAACTATGACAAAATAAAATGAAAAATACTAATGAAAATTATAGTCTGTAAATAGACATGAGAATTATGTAGATTTTATTTGCTCATGATGAATTTGGTAATAAAAAATATGTATTTCTTTGATGGTTGTAAGGTCTCAAAAACATTTTTCACTCAAGGTTTAACCTGCCTTTAGGTATTTGGCATAAAACTTCTAACAAGTGCTGCTTTCAGTAAGGAGCTATTTATTGGTGCTGCTGATGAAATGTCATTTGTCAAAAGAAACCCTTAGATTACTTTTCATTTTTCTTAAAGTTCACTACTAGTTTATGTAGAATTAGTGGCACAAGTAAGGAGGAGGTCTCTGCATGAGGAACACAGAGCCTGTACTGCTGCCTGGGTATTTCTGTATTAAAGACAAGCAGAAAAACTAAACCCTCTAACCTCAACTTACATTGGTTACCACAAGAAGAGAAAAAGAAAAAAATGTCTTTTACATCCTGGAGGTGGTGATGTGGTGGTTGCTGGCTGCAGGCACAAAGTGCACTGCCTTTGATGAGATAATGGCTTCTGCGCTTGCCATGTGTTGAAACTTCTGTGATTCACCTTTTCTGCCCAATTTACTCATGTGATTATTTCTGAAAATATGGCCTTTGACAACGATAAGATTTTTTCCCATCAGTGATGACTCTGCAGTACACCTCTACCAAAGAATATTTCACCATTTCCTGTGTGTCTTTGTCACAGTGGCGTGCCCCCCCCATCGGTCTGATTATCTTGCAACAACTTCGTGGCAGTCTGTAAAATCATTCATTATCGGGGAGGCGTTCTGTTATGTTTGGCAGCACATTAGGCACGTTATCAGGTTTAGCTCCCTCATTGCTGACCTCTTCTGTTATGAGTTACAGAGTTTTCCTAATTGCATTTCTGCAATGCCAGCCCTGGAACTAGAGAAGGTAAATGTCAGGTGCTTCCGAGGCTTCTGAAACAATGAGAGTAATGTGACAGAGTATGAGATGATGTTTAGTGCTTAACAACTTACTGCATTTCAGAGCTGTTAGGGTTATTTTAAGTACAGAGGAGACTGACACAATTATTTTATCAAGTGTAGAACAATCAGTTGTATAGATCAATTTAAGCAGCCTTATCCCTTCTTTAGCTCATTATATTCATGAATGTCTCTAGTGAAACATAATCCTCCCCAAATTATACAATATTTTCTCTCTATTTCTCTGGGGGCTAAAAAACCTACTTTTTATCACTTTCTGAGATGCATCCTTCCATTTAATAGAAGATGTATTTTTTTATCTTCCTAAATATATCTGGAAGCATCCTTTGATTTCTCATCCCTTCCCCTGTGCTTAATGTGTTGATGTAATTATTTTGTCCTACTTCTTTGCTAGAATTGATTTATCCCATAAGTATGCCTTCTTACTTTGAATGTTAGGTTCCTAATACAAGTACATGCCAGATTTTCCATGTGAGCTTGTGTGAGGAAACAGAGGACATCAATGGAAGGTATCCTCTGCAGAGGCAGGGGAGTGCAGCCTGATTCAGAACTTTTCTTTTCTAATGTATACTCTGATGTGGACTACATTTTTTTCCTTTTTTTTAACTTCTACTCTGACAGATTTTCTGTCTTTCTGTTTGTTAATGTTATAAAAGCTTCATCTGGCTTCTATTCTTTTTTTTCCCCCTATGAAATCCCCCTCTCAGTGGTACTCAATCTAATAATTCTGTCAGTTCCTTAAGTTATCTTCCTAACTGAGAGAAGATTTAGACAGCTTTAGTGTAGAGAGAGGATTGCCTAAAAATGGAAGGAATAGTTTATCATAATTAGAGATTAAAGGCAAGCAAAGTATTTATACATATTAATTATACAAACCAAGTAAAGGGTGTCTCATACCTTTAACTGGACCAACCTAGACACAAAATTATACAGAAAAGTAGTATTTTTTCCACAGTAAGTGATGATGAAGTAATACTGTTTTGATGTTAAGAGACAGCACTGGAAATAAATATTGCTATAAGCGATGAATGGCAATCTGTCCAATGCAATTAGTGTCTGATAACATAAAAAATCTTTTTAGATTTGCAGTATAATTAAAGAAATCGGACTTCAGAGAAATAGAACAAATTTGAATAAAGTTAACGGCATGGACTATTAAATATGCTCATGCTGCTTTGCTGAATCAATATGTCTGCTAATTTAATTTTTCTTAACATTTATTGTTAATAATGAATGTCATAAAATACTTTGTGAAGCAGGAGGGCGGGCACAAAGTCAGAGTTTATAGACAGAAGTACAAAGGCAAGACGTAGTTTGCTCAAACATTTGTCTCTTGCAGTAACAAAGGCACAAGTTTTAATGCCTGTAGCTGTTGTCATTTCTGTATTCTAATTGGTGAGCCTGGTGCTTTAGAAGTGCACATTCTGGCTAGATATATTACACCCTTTCTTTGGTAAAGTGCCCCAGGCAATTTTCACTCTCTTCCAATTTATTAAGAATTTTTGTTTACCTTTGTCCAAATACTTGTCATTAATCATCAGCAAACAGAGCAAACTGTCAGACTCATGTGGCTCAGCCCAAAAACATAGATTCTACTTGCAAAGCTTAGGTAATAAGTGCACTGACTTAGCTGGAGTAGAGGAAGGAGGTGGTCCATCATAGTCAAACTGAAGATACACCTGTGATTTATGTAGGAGTAGTTCATAACCTCTGGAGGTCACTGCTGAAGACTTAGTTCATCATCACACTGGAGTGAGTGACACAAGTCCACATCATTGAGAAACCTTCTTGATGGCAACAGCAGCATTTGACAATTTGCAGACCTATTTGAAATGAAGAACCTTGGTGAAATATCCTGATATGCCAATCTACAGACAAGCATTAAATTAATTGAAATATTCAGAGCTGTAATGTGTCATGTAGCAATTATCTAGAGGAGCAATATGGAAATTAATATGAATCAGCAGCTGTGGATGGTCAAGGCAGTTCTTACTGCCCTAATTATACATATATTACATACATAATATTGCCCATATTATACGTACAAAGCATTTGAGCCAATTACTTACTATCTCTGAAGAATAAAAAAGGTCACAACATGTTTCTTTGTCTTCAGCCTCTCTATTTTGTATTTTTTCTTAGGCAAGCTATTTTTTGCAAATAAAGGCAGCCGAAAGACCGAGTTACATCCTCATTAGTATTTTGAAAAGTGCTTTCAAACAGAAGATCTCCTACAGTGTGTAAGACCAAAGGTCCCACTGCACCTTTCCCAACTATAACATTATTTATATTCCACCTGCTTGTCCAGTCCCATTTCAAAACATTTGTCATCTTAGCTTTCACAGTAACCTGTGGCAACAAGTTCCTGAATTGAGTTACGTGCTTTGAGGGAAAAGTATTCTCTTTTGTTTGTTTAAGCCTGCTGCTTGATCTCTTCACTTCCCAACTCTACAAGCTATTTGGCCTCTCTTGCTGTTTGTCCTGGAAGTATGCAATTCAAATCACTTTTATACTTGTCCTGCTTCCCTTCAGTAAATTCTCAGATTTTTCCACCCTGGTCTCATTTTCTCATTAGTTATGATCTTAAACTCTGCATTTCCTGGATTCCTGTCCCTTGTATTCATTCTCTTTCTTTAGTGGGCTTTTTTTCACCTTTTTTCTTCATTTTTGGTCTAGTTGTAAATCTCTGTGATTGACTGTTCTCCACATCTGGTAAATGACCTGTACCAAATCTGCACCAGACACCTCGGTTTGTTAAATGATACCTAAATACATTTATAGAGGCTGATCCTCTGTGGCCACTCATAATTCCAGCATGGTACACTTTTAAATTTATACAAGTTTCTTTTCAAATCTCTCCAAACAAGTAGAAACTGAGTAGAACAGTAAATTGAAAGAAAACCAAGGAGGTGAGGATATTTTCTGCTTTCTTGGAAAACTAAGCTTGCTGAATAGGCAATAGATCTTTTGATTTGCAAATGTTTTGACTGCAGAACTCTGATAAATCTTGTGTAGTGTTTTTGGACACCTCATCGTCATAAACATACATCAAAAAGCACATAAAAATATTCACTAGAGGGGCAGAGGGGAGGTGGGAAGGAAAGGAAACAGCATCCACATGGAGAA